CAAATTTGTGTCTTCTAGGTTGCAACACCCCCATGATACATCTTCAAGGATATGAACATGTACGGCCAAGCACAATCAATAAGAGTGCATCTAAGCTTGTTTTTGAAACACTATTAGTCTGTGGTGATAATTTTATTTCTTTGTTTGAGCATAGATCTGCCTCTCATGCCAGGAACTCATTATTTTACATATTAAAAATACATACATTTGGTCTCTAGTGCTATTGAGGGGAAGAGAAAAGATCTCACTTGTAGGTGAGAGCAAAATAAAATAAGCACAAGACATATACATATAACACTTTCTGAAAAGCATGCAAAATTTCCTTTTGCCAGTCCTGCTTCTTTGGAACAATGTCCCAAGTATCATGAATCTAATCAGGTTATAAGAGTATATAGCACATATTATGTGGAGAATGATTGAATTTTCTTTTGTTGTTGTTATGTGCCATTGAGTCACTTATGACTCATATTGACCCTATTTATAACAGTTCTGAACCCTACTCTATCCTGAGTCAACATTATTGTGTCTGACACACCTACTCCCATTATCCTTGTCACCAAATTCAACCCTCATTGAGGGTCTTCCTCTCCTGCGCTGTCCTTCCACCCTCCCAAGTATGAAGTCCCTCTCCTAGAACTGGTTCCTCCTTGCACATGCCCAAAGTATGTTAGAAAGAGCTTCAGAATCCTTTCCTTCAAGGAGAAATCTGGTTTCTTCTTGTTCTCCTACTTGTAAACCTACTTGTTCTCCCAGCTGTCCGTGGTATATTTAATTCTCTTCTCCAGCACTACAGCTCAAAGTCATCGATTCTTCATCATTTCTAGTCATTGTCCAACTTTCTGATACATAGCAAGTAATTGCAAAGACTGTGGCTTGGATCAGGCACACCTTAGTTTCCAGATTGACATCATTGCCCTTTAGTACTCTGGAGAGGTCCTTGACAGAAGACTTTCCCAGTGGAATCATTTTATAACTTTCTAGTTGCTGGTACCAAAAACATTGACTGTTTAATTTCTGGTTTCTCTTCACTGGAAAGTCACTTTATGTAAACATCGGGTTTAATTTGAGAAATACTTAGCGTTAGCTACCCAGTAACTTACCAAAGGCACTATTTCTATCTTTTTAAAATTAGTACCAGCAGTCAAAGTATTCTCTAAATGGAGGTCAGCCTAAATGAGTGGTCCATATGTTGTTTTTGTACTTTATTCTTCTCTTTCATTAATAACAGTGAATAGATTCTTTGATATTACAGAGAAATGAAGATAGGAGGGCAGACACGAGAAGCTAAAAGTAGAAATTGAAAATGAAATTAAGATGGACCTTATATAGATATATAAAGGTATTCTATCATATATTGATCATTCGTTTATAATATGCCTAACTACAGGCACATACTTAATTGCTCAGGTTTGGATTAGGGATATCTGGTGGCCTAAAGGTAAGGAGCTACACTGCCAACTCAGAGACATTAAGTTAAAATTAGCCAGCTGTTCTACAGAAAAAGGGGGGGAGGATATTCTCCTGTGTAATTTATTGTCTCTGAAAACCCACCAGAGAGTTAGCTATGAGTCAATTTCAACTCTATGACATATAACAACAACAAGGATCCTAACTACTTACTATTGTAAAACAATTTTGCTACTATTTGTTCTGGAGTTCCTGCATAGCACTAGCAGTAAAATGCCTCAAAAGAAATTTTTGGTCATCTAATTCCAAAATATGAACAACTGAAAACCTAGTGGAGCACAAAGCTACCCTGACACACGTAGAATTTAGAGGAATCAGAATAGCAGAGCTTGCATTACCAGTGTTTGTTGTGTTGGAGAAAGAATAACAGAAAGCTTGGAAAATGCTTTATTATTATTGTTATCAAGTACTAATGATTTGATTTTCAACTCACTTTCATCACACTCTATTGTTATTAGGTGCTGTCAAGTTGAGTAGAACTCATATCAACCCTATGAACTCATGACTGCTACGTAGGTTTAAACTGTAAACTTTTGGTCGCAAGAGGAGTTTTTTAATCATTGTGTCACCAAGATTCATAATTCTCAAGTCTATTATCCAAACAATTATTTTGGTGTTTGAGGGCTGGGTAGTACTAATACGTACTGCCATAAAATAAAGTCAAAAGAAATTATTATCTCTCCATCTAAAGTTTATTTGCATGACCCATAATACAGGAATAGCAGAATCTTTAACTTCATATGTAAAACAACAATATGGAGAGAGAACTGGAGATTTTTAAATGATAGATTTGCTTCTGCTTCACATTGCATAAATAAAGACCTACTTCAATTTTTTTTCTTCTTTCATAAAGTTCCCAGAAGAAAATGGCTGCAGGAAATTATACCACATTGTCTGAGTTTATTCTTGCTGGGCTAACATATAAACCAGAACTCCAGCTGCCTCTGTTTCTTGTCTTCCTGGGAATCTATACGGTCACAGTGGTGGGGAACTTGGGCATGGTCATATTGATTGGACTCAGTTCTAACCTGCACACCCCTATGTACTACTTCCTCAGCAGTTTATCCTTCATTGATCTCTGCCATTCCACTGTCATCACCCCTAAAATGCTGGTGAACTTTGTGACAGAGAAGAACATCATCTCCTACCCTGAATGCATGACTCAGCTCTACTTCTTCCTTATTTTTGTTATATCAGAATGTCACATGTTAGCTGTCATGGCATATGATTGCTTTGTTGCCATTTGCAACCCATTGCTTTATAATGTCACCATGTCTTATCAGGTCTACTCCTGGTTGATAGTCATGGTTTATATGATGGGTTTTATTGGTGCCACAGCTCATACAGTTTGTATGCTAAGAGTGGTTATTAGCAAGGTTAAAATAATCAATCATTATTTCTGTGATCTTTTTCCACTACTGGAGCTCTCCTGCTCCAGTACATATATCAATGAAGTGACAGTTTTATGCTTCAGTGCATTTAATATTGTTGTGCCAGCTCTCACCATCCTTGGCTCCTATGTCTTCATAATTGTCAGTATCTTGAAAATCCGCTCAGTTGAGGGCAGGTCTAAAGCCTTCAGTACATGCAGCTCCCACATCACGGCCGTTTCTATTTTCTTTGGTTCTGCAGCATTCATGTACCTGCAGCTATCATCAGTCAGTTCCACAGATCAGGGTAAAGTGTCTTCTGTGTTTTACACCATTATTGTTCCAATGCTTAACCCTCTGATCTATAGCTTGAGGAATAAGGATGTCAAAGTTGCTCTAAATAAAATCCTTGGGGAAAAAACCCAAACTCCTTTGTTTTAGCAAATATTTATAATTCATAGATAAAACTCAGTAAGGAAAGAGTCTAGAAATAGCAACATTCATAGAGTAGCAGTAAGATTATTGGAAACATTTTATGTTTGAAAACAATAAAGATAGGATGGATTTTATTGTGATTTATTGAGGGTGGTCACATGGAGAGCAGCATCAAATCTAGGAAGTCTTAAATATCATCTGAGATAACCCCTATTATTTCTATTTTTTTTTAAATTGAAAGGTCTTCAAGTGGGGAGACGTTGAGATCATATTTATATATGAGATATGATATATTAAGATTTATCTGTCACAATTCAGAGAATTGTCAATTTGGTCTATATCCCTTCTCACTACTGCATGTATTGGCCCTTGTTTACTAAAATTTATGAATAAACATATCTGGGGAAAAGAGATTACTGAAATAAATAATGCTTAATAATTTGAAATCTACAAAATTCAGTATAATCATTAGGGAGTTGTACTAGTAATCCAAAGGCAATCTCTGCTGATTTAAATTCACTCGCAGCTGTGGTGGACAAGGGTGGACAATCTCTTTCCTTGCTATTAACATCCTGGGAAGTCCCCGAGAATGTCAGATACGTTGGTTCCAATTATAACTCAGTGAGAGACAGCTTAGATACTTAGTGCAGAGAAACTGCAGTATCAGAAACCCTAAAAATTGACTTTTCTAGCCATTACATTAGCCCTTTTTGGCAGGTGCAGGGCATGGACCTTAACCTTACCTGTGGACACACAGTCTTGAAAATTATCAACAGCTGTGGGACCCAATATAAGAGATATAGTTTTCTATACTGTGAGGTTCTCTGGTGACTGTGATAGGAAGAGGATGAAGAGACTGTGATACTGCTGTGAAAAGACGTTGACAAGGTGTAACGAGAGGAAACTTGAAGATGTAGCCATAGCTATAAGTTTTGCTTCCTGACGTGAAATTTGGAAAGGCTGACTTGTAACTGCTCTGAGATAAGGTTTGCTGGAGGACTGAGGAAAACAATGTCTTCCTGTATTTATGATGCTGGACTCTCATTAATTGAGGAACTGTGTCCTGCTATAAATCTGGCTTGGGATTATTGAACTAAATCTAGACTTGTATTGTGAATATTCTCTGCCTCCCCCACTCCCCAACCTATTTCCCAAAACAAACCTCACAACTGTAGATAAAGTCTGTGAGTCTTGCAACAAATGATTGGTAAAAAGCAGTTCATGTGGGATGACATGTCTGACTAAATAATATTTTGTATGGTACTATGGATATTATTGATGAGAACAGTTTCACTTTATAAAGTAGATGGGAGTCAAACTCAGACATCCCCATGTTGTATATGCTCCTTATACAGAATATGAGATAAATGGTTGATGATAATTGTTACTTTCCATGAGAGTATAACATTAATGAAAAAGAGGTTGAGAAAATAATTGGAGCTGAATAAGTATATTTTCATTTATTTCTTTGGGTAGCAATGTTTTCTCCACAGTTTTAGTATTATCCTACCTTCATTTCCTATGCAATTTTATATTCTTTTTCCTTTGTTCCTAAATTAGTTTTTCTTTGCAAGCATATCATAGAATCACAAATATATAAGTTACATGCTTTGACTATAAATAGAATACACCAGATGCACGGAAACTTTATGGATCACTAAGTTTTAATGAGAAATATAAGATGATTTTTCTCCTTGGAAACTAGAGGAAAGTTCCTTTTGATTTTATATGTAATAATCTTTGTAGTACATAGAAGCTTTGTCTCACTTTGGGCATGTCTTCAGGAGGAACTAGAAGCTGGAGAAAGACAAGATACTGGGAAACAGGAGGACTGTATGAGATGGGTTGGCACAGTGACTGCCATAAGGGACTTGAACATGATAGAGAACATGAGAAAAGCAAGGGATAGATAGGGCATGGTTCAGATCTGTTGTTTATAAAGTCACTATGAGTCATAGTTCCTCTTAATGGCACATAAAAACAACATACAGTAACCAGAGAGCTCTGGGGGCCTAGTGATAAGGAGTTGTGCTGCCAACTCAAAGGCACTCAGTTCAAAACCTCTCCAGGGTTTCCTCCTCCTATGCAAATTGCTCCCTCTGAAACTCTCTGGAGGATCAGTTATGAGTTGATGCCAACTCCATGGCACCTAACAAAATGTTAATCAACTTTTCTCTTCACCTTTCATGTTTCATCCTGGAAAAAAAAACCACCCCCCCAAAAAAAAAATATATATATATACACACACACATGTATGGGATTCATGTATCTGTGTATATGAATAAAATGTATTGTTTATGCATTATATATGTTATTGTATATTACATGCACATGTTTCACAAAAGCAATGTGTAAGTATGGATATTTAATTGTATTTTATTGACTATGCAAAGGCTTTTGACTGTGTGGATCAAAGCAAATTATGGAAAACATTGATAAGCATGGGAATCCAAGAACACTTAATTGTGCTCATATGAAACCAATACCTAGACTAAGAAGTTGTTGCCTGATAAGGGAAAGTAACACTGCGTAGATAAAATTAAAAAAGACATGTGTCAAACTGCATCTTTTCTCCTTACTGACTCAGTGTGCGTGCTAAGCAAATCATTTTAGCAACTGGACTATATGAAGCATAAGGTGTCAGGATCGCAGGAAGACTCATCAACAACCTGCATTATCTAGATGACACAACTTTGCTTGTAAAAGTGAGGAGGACTTGAAATACTTGCTGCATAAGGTCAAAGACTACATTTTTCAATATGGGTTATATTTCAACATCAAAAAACCAAAAATGTTCACCACTGGGACAATAGGTAACATCATGATAGAGAAAAGGCTGAAGTTGGTCACAATTTCATCTTAATAATATCCACAACTAACACTCTTGACATCAGGAGTAAAAAAAAAACAATTTAAAAAGTATTTCATTAGAATATGTTGTCAAGGGCCTCATCAAACTAAAGAACAATGATGCCAGTTTAAAGACTAAGATGCCCCTGATCCAAATCCTAACCTTTTCATTTGATTGCTTTGCATCTTAAAGTTGGACAAGAAATAAGAATGAGAAGACAGAAGAAAAACCAATAGATTCACATTGTGATGTTGGAGAAGAGTACTGAATATTTTATAAACTGCCAAAAGAACAAACAAAAAATTCTTGAAGAAAGTTCAGCCAGAGTGCTCCTTAAGGGCAAGGGTGGTGCAATTTCCTCTCACAAGTTTTGGGCATGTTGTAAGGAGAAGCCAGTTTCTAGAAAATGGCATCGTTCCAGGAAAGGTTGAGAGTCAGCATAAAACAGGAAATCTTGACAAGACGGATTGACGTAGTGGCTGTAACAATAGATTCAAGTATATCAAAGATGCTGAGGATGGCACAGGATAGAGAAGGTTCAGATTAGTTTTTCATAGGTCACTCTGAGTTGTAGTAGACTTGATAGCATCTAACAACAACAACAACATATGTGAATAATTTTCGTTGTTTTACTCCAGACATTAAACAAATAACAGCCAAACATAACTTACTGTTTTCTCAATGATAGATTATAGATTCAAACAACTGTTTATAAAAATTGTCTGCATTTTAAAGGACTTAGTTATGTATTGAAATATATTAAATAGGTCAAGGATGGGCAATCTCTTCTCATGTGATTAACTGTCTCTGAAAACCTGATGGAGGGTCAGCTATGAGTCAGTTTCAACTCGATGGTACAAAACAATAACATAATATAGTAAAGCGCTGCTAGATATAAAAGTGTCTAACTCATTCTAGCTATTCTGGAAACTGGAAGAAGGTATTTTATTAAAATATTAACACAGAGATGTCCATAAAATGGAAATAAAGTTCTACCACAAGGAATAAAGGAAATGTTTTTTTAAAAAAATACTTAAGGATGAAACATCTTATAAATTATTATTAGGTGCTTTCAAGATGATTGTAATTCAAAGAGAGCCTATGAACAATGAGCCTTATTCTTTCCTACAACATCCTGATGATTGCTGTCATGCTGTCCATTATGCTGGCTAATGCATTAATTCATCTAGTGAAAGGTTTTCCTCTCTTTTTTGATTCTATACTGTTCCCGGAGTGATGTCTTTCTCAAAGAACTAGTTCCTCCTGAAAATATGATCAAATTATATGAGACAATATTTCATCATTCTTACCTTGTACTTTATTCAAGATAGAATTGTTTGTAGATTTAGTAGTCCATGGTACTACATTCAATACTCTTTGCCAATCTCAAAATTTAAAAAAAAATATTGCTTCTTCTTCTGTCATATTTATTTTCACAGCTTAACAAGCAATTGAAAACACCATGACTTAGATAAAGTGCACTTTAGTCTTTAAATTGACTCCTTGCTCTTTAGATCTGATATACTCAATCCAACATGTTTCTTCATTTCTTGACTAATGCAGCCATGTGTCTTTATGGTGTTGTTGTTATGTGCCATCAAGTCGCTTACGACTCATAGCGACCTTATGTACAAGAGCTCTAAACTCCATTCTATTCTGTGCCAACCTAGCCATGTCAAACGCACTCATTCCTATCACTCCTGTCAGAGAATTGATCCATATCATCGAAGGTCTTCTCCTGTGCCACCCATCCATTCTGCCAAACATGATGTCCCTCTCTAAGGACCAGTCCCTCCTTGCAACATACCCAAAGTATGTCAGACGAAGCTTCAAAATCCTTCACTGCTAGGAGCATTCCGACTTCACGTTCTCCAGGACAAGCCTGTTTGTTCTCCTAGCAGTCCACGGTATATTCAACACCTTTCTCCAGCACCACAGCTCAAAGGCATCAATTCTCTCTCTATCATCCCTATTCACTGTCCAACTCTCTGACACAAAGCACATAATTGCGAAGACTATAACCTGGATCAGGCGCATCTTAGTCTCCAGCCTGATGTCTTTGCTGTCTTTGCTCTTCAGTACCTTTGAGAGGTCCCTCACAGCTGACTTTCCCAGTGCAATTCATCTCTTGATTTCCTGGATGCTAGTACCAAGA